CATTTACTTCAGAATGATGGAGTCACACAGTAATAAATAATGCTGCTACAGTGGAGGATGAAGGTGTGCTCACTTGGCAGACATCCGTTTGAGCCTTTCTGAGTCGCTGCTTTTCTGGATCTTGATTCGAGCAGTCAGGAAGTCTTCCTTCTGAATCGTTTCCCACATTGATAATCGGTTCGCTTCCTTTGCTTCCAAGTCTAACACTGATAGTACAGACCAAGGGTTGAAATGATTACCTTTCAACTCATTTTTCATGCTTTCGTCACTGCTGAACTGAGGTCAGTGAGCAAGTAATCAAAGAACCTATTATTGTAACCTGGCACTGCCATTTTTAGTGAGCAACTGAGTGATAACAAGGCAGGCACTGTTTAAGAAAAAATCACACGTAGCAAAATGTGCTGAATAAAATTTAGAAGATATCAAATATCAAATTCAATCAGCTGTGGCTTTCTGACTCATTACTCATTAAACCTTTTACTTTAAAGTAATTAAGCAATAACTGTATTAAATGAATAACTTTATTTAATAGGAACCAAGTCTCCTGACTCCAATACTGACCAAAGTGGTGGATCTTTACAGAGGGCACTTTGCGAATAACTCTCCTAATAAAGATGTTGATGTGTGAGAGGATAATGAAAGGAGGAGCCAAAGAAGGACGGGAGTGGTACTCAGCAATCAGGTTGTAACGCTGGAACTTCCAGTAGATGTCACTGTGTTCCTGCACTTTAGAGAAAGTGAAGCTGTGTGGATACAAGCAGATCAGAGCCACTGAGTCAAACCATTCAGTATGTGAACGCACCTTCAGATATAATAAAAGACTTGTTCTTTACCTAAACATGGCAATAAGCAGGTTGATGAGCAGGATGTTGGTGACCAGGAGATATACGACTAGCAGAATCACTACCAGCCAGTTACTCTCATGATTTCTACACGGCTCTTCACCGCTCTCAATCAAAGTCACATTGTGTGTACAAGTGATATCCCAGTCCTTGCCCACTGCAATAAATTGGCAAGGTAAGAAATGTAAGAAATGGTTAAAATTATAATAACACTCAATTTCAAATTGCTGTGATGAAAGTAGGTTCCAGGAAACTGCAGCATTTTAAAACAGATTTCAGCTTATAACACAGATTTTCTTATTTTTATGCCACTTGCACAAACACTTGTACCATCCATCTCTTCCACAGGGATCTGTCCAAAGATGTGCAAGTATGGCCTGTAGAAAACTCTCCGAAAAATGCGATTTGGGTTTGGATCATAGTTGTAGATCAGAGCCTGATTGGCAACTCCATACGCCATGACCCACACACCCAGGAAGAAGAGGAAGAAGAAGACATCCTTCATCTAAACAAGAGGAAATTGTGATCTTGTTTGCTTCATTATTTATTTTTTCATGTATGTATGTATGTATGTATGTATGACTTAAACCAGGCATTAAGAAAATATTTATGGCACATTATATCCAAACAAGTGCATTAAAACACAAACACAGCGCATTAAAAATGTTATGGTTTTGCAATGACAAAACATAATTTAACTATATGTGGCGGGCAGACCACGCCCGCCTGTTAAAACACAGGGACTGTGGGTGGTTGTGGTGTGGTATATGTGCGGCTGGCAGCTTGTGAGCTCAAAGCAACAACCTGTGATCCCGCCATGCTTTAGTCACACCACACTATAATATTGTGAAAATATTTGGAAAAATCCCCTATGTCTTGCTTTTTATTTCTTGTCTATACCTGCAGATTAGCCCTACACTGTAAAAAATGGCAGTGAAATTGACATAAAAACCATGTAAAATCCCTACAGAAATGTTTCAATCACAGTGAATTTTTGTAAACTATTAAACAGAATGTTTTGTTATATTTACAACATCAATGTGTATTATAATCAAATTTATTTGTTAAAACTACAAATATTGGGAACAAAAACAGTGAAATACTTTAATACTCATAACAAAAAATTATGTTAATTTGACATGCAAATATTGTAAAAACTATAGTTTTAGTCAGTTGTTTTTAAAAATACACGAATTATATGTAAGTCACTTTACAAGTTTATACTGTAGGCCTTGTAACGGACCTACTTTTAACATGATTCATGAAATTATGCAAATTCAGGTATAGGGCTAATAAAAATGTTTTCACAGAAAATGTCATTGTGAACCTGAGAGGTTACTTCTCTATATAAAGATATACAATTATAATGACATTATCGGTTTTTTAATCATTCAGGCTTTTTGAAGCTTATTGTAGAGTAACCTATAAGAAATTATTATTATCGATAGCCTAGCCTTCCGTTCAGCTATAATCCTTGTATTCTTTATGTTTCTTTTAATTGTAATGTGATACTTAGGCTACGTCCACACGTACACGGGTATTTTTGAAAACTGAGATTTTCCATTGTCGTTTTGAAAAATAATCCCGTCCACATTTTTTCCTGTGCTACTGAGTGCTAAGCGAGTGTAAGAGAGGGTGAGAAAAAAAAAAAAAAAAAACAGACAGCTCGGGATAAGGAGCCGGCGTCGTTCACGTCAAAGAACCGGCTCTAAGAGCCATTTCGTTCGGGAACGACCCATCACTAACATGATCAGAGCGGGAGGGAGAGACAGAGAAAGAGAGCCAGGGACAACTACGTCACATTAGAAAGGTAATCATCATTGACTGTTTCTACAGTCTATGGTAATCATCCACAACTGATTTTCGGATGATAAAGGATTCAGAAAGTTTATTCATGCAGGTCCATATGACAGAGAATATGCATGTTCTTTTTGTTTTCATATTTTAATTTATATTTAATTGTGTTGTGGTTTGCAGTGTTTTGTGTTGTTTCACTTTAAATTTGTTTAAAAGGAAAAAGCTGAAAATTTAAATAGTTAAAAGTTGAATGTGAATAGTTGGTTTTTGTATTATATGATTTATTTATTACATTTTATGTGGAGTGAATAAATAAAAGTATATTTACGGTGGCCCTAGAGACAAAGCATGTACAAACTTCAAAACACGTATGAACTCTGAAGCACGTACAAACCCTAAGCACGTAAAAACTCCAAAACACGTAAAAACTCCAAACACGTACAAAACACAACAGAAGTGCTCCAGGATGCTAGGCGCAGTGTTGAGCTTTTGTTACCTAGTGGCTACACAAGCCAGCAAGTACCAACGACCGGATTTGGTGTGTGGTAGTAACAGGTAAATGAACTTTTTTTTTTAATTATTTGAATATATATGAGTGCTTGTGTATAAATACACAAACAATACACATATGCTTTCAATTGTGTAATTTAAGTGATCTAGGTAGCTCTGTTTTGGAGTTTGTACATGCTTTGTCTAGGGGCCACCACATATATTTATATATAAACATATATAAATAAAACCACTTTTTTTAACATTAGTAATTCCTTTTGTGCATAATTTTATATTATTGTTAATAATATTAATTAAAGCAACAAAACAACCTGAAGAGCCGGCTCTTTTTAGTGAGCCGAGCCGGAAATCCCCTCACTAAAGATAGCAAGGTGCATCCGCCTCCCCTGCAGCGGCGCTGCAGACCACGCCCCGCCACACACATTAACCAGGTAAAATACATATTTAGGCAGAATTTTGCAAATATCTATTTTTCAGCAGCATAGTGCTTTTTTTCCAATTATTTTTTAAAAGTCAGGTCAAGGCTCCAAAAGCCCAAAGGCGATATAAGGGTGGCGGCTCACAACAGTTTTTGTTTGCTACATGGATCATTTTAGTTCAGCTGGGTGTCTTTCCTTTTGTTATATTTCTTTAAGAGTTCAAAATGTGTTAATTACATAAATAAAATGTAATTTTCTCTGTAGCACTTCATGGATTTATAAGCAACACACCTTATATTGGAATTTGGGTTGTGTCATGTGCTGATAAGCAAAACCTGATAAGGTTTTCTTCTTCTTCACATTAATATAAATGTATATCAGGAGCTAATAGCTAATTTTTTTGTACTAGGCTAGAGGTAGACAGCTAGCCCAGCTGTGTCCAAAAGAACAAACCCTGTCCTGCAACTACTGATACGCCTACTGAAATGATACGCCTGCAGCCAGGGTAGTTAATATTACTAACTAAATATTTAAAAATACTTGAACTAGAGGTTATTTTTTGTATTTCTAATAAGAATTCATTTATTAAGTATGAAAGCTTTATTTAAAAAAAAAAACAATAATGTAGACACAAAAAGTATTATCATGCTGACATTGCACAGAGAAATGCTTTCCTTTGTACATATGACAATAAATGCTTTGAATTTTAAATCATAATGTAATTCTTAATAGACATTATTACAGATTATGTAAGAATATGTTGATTTTAAATTCCAGAAGTGTCTTTAAAACAAAAGTAATGATGGTCATGTCATTTCCCAACTCAAATTACACACACACACGATAAATTTATTTTTCATTTCAGTGCTTATCAGTGAGGATCATGGTGGCGGACTGAACAGAAGTTGTCAAAAGGGAGCGTGCGCGATTCTTGTTTCTTTTCCTGATCTTGAATGAAGGCGTTATCCTTGATATAAAGTGTTACTGAATCAAGCTGAGCTGGAAGAGGAGGGTAGCACATCTGTATAAAACAACAGGTAGAATAAAAGAAGTGAGAGGGACAAATTTTAGCAAAAAATATACATGTGAAGACCATGTAGTCCAAACACAGGACATCCCGTCCAAATTCATGTGACCAGTGGAACATCCTGAAATACAAGCACAGTAAAGCTGAATCAATGAGGTAGCAGCACCGCCAGGCCACAAACCTGTATATTAACCTGTAAAATTTGGTTTTTAGAGAAGAAACATTTTTATATTTAAGGGACTAAATGACCAGGGGTTAAGGAAATTATTTATGCCACACTACATCCATAAACACAAACCAAGCACAAGTCTTTTACAATTTTGCAATGAAAACACCTCATTCAAAAATATTATTGTTGAAAATGTTTTTCAATAATCTGTCTTTTTTTGTATTTCTTGTCCATACCTGCAGATTAGTCCTATAATGAACAGGCTGATGGCGGTGAGGTCACATTTATTCCACAGATCCTTAATGTAGAGTCTGAACCTTTGACGCCAAGTCATCGTCCCCACAAAAATTGACTAGAAGAAGAACACAAAAATTACAACAAACTAAACTATAAGCTGGTGGCATATATCCAAATACTGAAAACTACTCTCCGTGTGCTGTTCAAAGAAAGGTATATTTAATGTGGTAAGCAAAGAAGGAACATAATAAGGAAGGAAGAGATTCAACCAAAATGATTGACTGTTCATAATATGTACTATTATAAAGACTGGGTAAAAATTCAACAAGAATAAGATTTTTATTTATGTAATTATATTTAATCTTCACTATATTTCTTAAGTTATTTGAATACAGTAACAAATATTAAAATGTATTAATCTATTTTAATGTCCATTCTGAATTTAATGCTTGTGACACAGCTGCATATTAACCACTGTATTGCAATACGAATCTTCAGTTATATCGTCCTTCTTCTATGTGCAATTTAATAAAAAGTTCAGTTACTGGGTTCACTTTTTCCCTTTATATTTCTACAGCTACCCACCTTTCTGGGAAATAAAGTTCTAGTAAGACGTGTCTCTTCACTCACCTGTCTGATCTCCTCACAAACGATGGTGAATACCCAGAAGTACAACACACACTCAGCAACACCTGGACCTGAGGGTGGTGGGGGATCAAAATCCACCAACAGCACGTAGGCGAAAAGCAAAAGAAACAGGAAGTACATCAGGACGTTGCCCAGAAAAGAGGTGACCGGTGCAAACCAGAACTGACGCCAGCGTGACACTATGAATGGACGCTGTGGTGGTCGGTAAGGTACACCTGTATCAAAGATTATAAATGCAGATAGCAGGTGACTTAAATGACAGCATGTGGTGACAAGAATAATTTCTGAAGTCAGACTTTCTTCTTGTAGTGAGTGACAACACTTATTCAAAGATGACTCTTTAAACAGGACTCACCTTTAATGGTACCACTCCTGTGATCTTTTGAGTCAAGGTCACTGGTGTAAGAACGAAAACAAAATTGATTTAATTGTTAGACTTTAGCTAATGCAAATCAATAAAATAAAAATAACAAACTGATGTTCTACAGATTAACACTGAAGAGTGCAAGTAGAAATATTACAGGTGCTTGATGTCATCCAAAGAGAAGACGGTGGTCCCATAGAGACTGTTAGTGTCCTGGTCTGGCCCATCATCGTTAGGAATTCCTTCCTCCTCTTCCAACTGATTATCTTGTTTTCTATGAGGTAAAATATGTAGCAAATGTTTAAAAAAGTATCAAAATACATTTACAAACCTTTAATCTGAAAAGAATAAGCCTTTAACCTGAAGGAGATCAGATTGGTGTAGCAGAGGATGGGGCAGAAGAAAGTGAGCAGGAGCCTCCAAACCTCTGTGTTCCTCTTCATATCACCCCACCAGATATGGGAGAGCAGAGACTGGAAGAAGACAGAAAATAAGTCCTTATCAATCAACAGCAGCTCACTGGCGCAACATGAAGGTAGGATGTGTTATTTCTGAAGAATCCTACCATTTTTACTTTGTATTAATTTTTTTTGTAATTTAAATTATTGTACTGTACATGAAAGGGATTGTGCATTACATAGTCTTATTTATAGGTAGTGTATATGTATTGATTGAACTGTATAATCAAAGCAGCTATATACTGAACTGACCTCACAGCCCATTGTTCATTCAGTGGACTGGTTTCCGTTATTCCCCAAAAGTTGATTCTGTTCATCTGGACGTAGTGTTTTCAGTGGGAGAAACGTTTTCTCACTCATCCAAGTGACTTCTTCAGTCTCAGCTGACTGCAGGTTTCCCCAATCTTATAAACAGTACATTTGCATAATGACTGAAACCAGCCCATTCAGTTCCTTGATCATTAATATGCAAATTCTCATGACCATTGATCAACAACCACTGACCAAAACCCACTGATCAAAGCTCATTGATCAAAGGCCACTGATCAATGGCCAGGAGTAGCATTCACAGAAAGTGGGTGAATGGCTGCAATCACAGCATTGTATGATGGCGAAAGATGTACCCTTAGCTGCTCAACTGTTCCGATACTCCTGACACATATGGGATCACTACAGGTTTTCGCTTAGTCAGCGGTTGTCCTTCTCCCCTGAATCGGCTGAAGCTTTCTTTAGGTGCTTTCCCAGCTCTGACAAAAGTCCAGCTGGAATAACCACATTTACTCAGGGCCTTCATGATGTGATGTTCTTCTGCCTCTCTGGCCGCTGTGTCAGTGGGGATGGTGTTCGCTCTGTGTTGTAGTGTCCTAATGACACCCAGTTTATGCTCAAGTGGATGATGAGAGTCAAAGCTTAAATACCGATCTGTATGCGCAGGTTTATGGTACACATCAACTTTTAGATGTCCCCCATTACTGATGGAAATCTCACATTCTAAGAAGGCTAACCTGCCACTTTTCATATCCTCCCTGGTGAATTTGATGTGTTGGTCCACCGAGTTAATGTGATCTGTGAATTGTGGTACATCCTGAGATCTGATTTTCACCCAGGTGTCATCCACATATCTGAACCAATGACTTGGTGGCATTCCAGGGTAGGATTAAGACACAGTTCCAAAAGCAACAGACTTGGTCGATGCTGAGAGTGGTCCTGTTGCTCAAGTTGGGGTCATCCTGCAATCTCTTATGAACTACCTCCAACACTTGACTGGAACACAAGTGAAAAGAGACGTAAAATCGTACTAGACCATTGTTTCATCTGCCTCCATAATGACATCTCTCACCTTCTCAACAAAATCCAAAGTGTTCTGGATGTGATGTTCAGAGCTGCCTACCAGTGGGTTGAGGATCAAAGCCAGAAACTTAGAGATGTTAGAGGTGACTGAGTTGATCATACAGACAATCGGCCTTAAAGGTGCACCCTGTTTATGTATCTTCGGTAAACCATACAGACTTGGTGCAGATTCCCCTGGGTACAGCCTGTGGTATGAGGTCCGGTCAATAGCGTTGTCTTGTCCTAACAGCTTCAGGCAATCTATCCCCCTCTTCCTGTAACCACTTCCTGGGTCTCATTTCAGGGGCTCATAAGTATTTTCATCACTGAGCAGTGACAAACTTCTCTCATGATAGTCTTTCTGGTTTAGCAATACTGTGCTCCTACCCTTGTCTGCTGGAAGGATGAGACTGTTGTTGTCTTTACTAAGTGATGCGAGTGCCTTCCTCGTCTCCAAGCTGATGTTGGATGCTGGGGTCTTTGCATTGCTGAGACAGGCTGAAACCTTTCGTCCGTAGTTGCTCTGCTTCCACGTCTGCAATGTTGTTATTTCAGATTGCTGTTTCTGTGGCTATGATAATTTCAGTTATTGTTCAAATGTGTTGTTTATAAGGTTTGAGAAACCTGCAGTCAGCTGAGACTGAGGAAGTCACTTGGATGAGCGACAAAACGTTCCTCCCACTGAAAACGCTACGTCCAGATGAACAGAATCAGGTGTTCACGATTTCCTTACCTGGATGTGCACACGGGTACTTACAGACACACACCATTTGGGCTGCTGCTGCCTCTAAAAATATCTTACATTATCAATACTGTGTGCTGTTCAGTAACTTTGTCATTGTTATTTATGCATATGTTGGTTGTTGCTGTGGTTTCTCTGCTGTTTGGTTTTTTGTTGGTGCTTTTCTTTGTTTGCTTGCTTCTCCCCAAGTTCAATTTCTTTCTTTCTTTTCTTTTCCATTCCCCGGTCTTGTCCGTTATGTTTGTAGTAATCCAAAATAAAGAATATCCTAATTAAGCTCTAATAAAATATTACTATCAAGTGGGCAATTACAGCAAATGCTGGAACACTGTACTTGTGAAGTTTTATTTGGCAATTTTTGGCCTTCAGTGAACAATTCTGATTCTGCAATTCAGCTAAACTGTCATACAGGACAGGGAAAAAAAACATGAAAGAAAGAGGTTAAAAATCGAACACACCTGTACGCCATCATTACTGAAGAAAAGCCGAGCGTCAGCACTCACACCCATCTGAAGACAAGTGCTGCCACCCCAGACAGGAGACTTCCTAATTAGCAGGGTGAAGGATCGGCGTTCATCACTCCGATAGCAAGAGCTGAAAATATCTGAGGTAAAGTGGACACAAGACATGGCATTCAATTTTATTTATATAGTGCCAGTTTACAAGAATAGTCATGTAAAGGTGCTTTATGTCGTATAGTAAAGACCCTATATTAACACAAAGAAAACCCCAACTTGTAACTCCCTATGAGCAAGTACTCTGAAATCTTTAAGAAATGATGGGGCCAATTTTTTAAAGCTCTTGTATGTAAGGAGAAGGATTTAATTCTGGGTTTAACAGGGAGCCAATGAAGAGAACCTATGAGAGACATGCACTCTTTTAGTATTCCTTTTCAGTACCCTCATTGCAGCATTTTGAATAAACTGAAGGGTTTTTATGGAGCTTTTAGGACAACCTGATAATAATTACAATAGTCCAACACAGAAGGAAATCAACCAATCAGTCAATCAATTTATTTATAGGCACTTTTAAAAAGCAACACAGGTTGACCAAAGTAAACCAAACACACACAGAAAGAACTAAACAAAAATCAGTCACAATTATAAGCTAGGGAGTAAATATACGTTTTCAAATGTCCTAACTTGAAGAGGCAGACTGTTCCAAAGGTTAGGAACACAAATCGCAAAGGCCCAGTCTCCTCTGTGTTTTAACCTGCTTCTGCTATCAGCTGACTTTAGATTTCTGTTTGGAGTATTTTTAGTTAAAAGATCAGAGAGGTGCGAGGGAGCTAATCCATTTAGAGACTTAAAAACAACAAATAAAATCTTCAATTCATGAACATACTGGAAGCCAGTGTAAATGACCCAAGACTAGGAGAAATATGGTCACCTTTACATGTGCCTGTCAAGAGTAGAGAGTTGTAGTGAACAAGCTGAAGATGAGAGAGTAGAGCCTGGCTAATGCCAAAATAAAGACTGAGACTGTAGACAAGCCTGGATAAAATAAATGCGTTAATCATTCATGCATATTTGTTCAATACAAACATGCAATTAAAAGCATATGCTGGTAAAAAAATGTGCAATACATGCACAGTTGCCATTAGAAAAGCCAAAGCTGATCACTTTGTTATAGAGACTTCAAACAATCTCTAAAACCTCTTTACATTTATGAAAACAATGGCACAGCGCTTCCCCCATGCCCTTATAAACACTTGCGTCATATTTATGAGAAGGCTGACATGCTTGGTTGTTTTAATGAACATTTTGTAATATCTGGCACACTGCTGAAGAAAGTAAATATTTCTTATGAGCATTCCTCAGCTGCATTCTCTGATAATTCTGTGGCCGACCACTCCTTTACTTTAAGCGTGGTGAGAGCATCAGATGTGCTCAAAGACTTTAAACTTTTGGATACTAGAAAGTATCCAAAAGTTTAAAGTCTGCTGATTTTCTAATCAGCAGGTCCAAACAATTTGGAGCCTTAATTTTTGAAGTTAGCTGTTGATTTTATCGCCCCATTAGTTACTTTTCTTGTTAATCTTTTTTGGATACAACTGAAATTCTAAAGGAATTTCTCTTGAGTTCTTGAGTTCTAGCAACCACAGAGACGAGTCCATTGTCAGAGAATATAAGAAGATCATTTATAACCTGCAATTATCCTGTTTCTGTTCAAAGATGATTAATAGAGATGGGATAATCATATTTAACATCAAAGAATGAATTAATGGTGGGAAATATTTGAACACACTTGTAGGAATGGGGACTAATAAATGCTCAGCTGAAGTACAAATATATATCTGCAGTATTCAACATAGATGTACATAATTACATATGTGAAATGGTTATGAACCTTTATATTTTCTCAAATGGTTAAAATTAAATAACTTCAAATTTTATGTATTCATTAAAAATGTAAGAAATATTCAGCTCAAGAGACATGTGACTCTTTCAATCTGGCTACACTGCAGAAAAGAAAGCAGGAGTTGTTTTTATTTTCTTATGTTCATCACTTTATGGAGGGATTTTACAGAACATAAAACACTTTTTCCAGGCTAAATGAAGATCTTCAAAGTGTTTGAGATGCCATTTCCTCTCCAGCTCTCCAAGTTATCTGCTTTAAGCTACATATTTGAGACTTATATTAAAGAGTCAAACACTTCTCTCCCACACCTCTGTGAGAGTCAGGTTTAAGTAGCTGCTCTGTACTCTAGCATTGAAGAAGATGACATTAGAGGAACTATATCCTTAAACTTAGTTACAGCACATTCAAAAAGATATTTACTGTAATGAAATGTTTCGTTACTATTGTGTAAAGTGTTAGATAGGTTTTGCTACAATTGTGTTACATCAGCTGTTAAAAGGAAAATTCAAAGGACACTTCATGAAACTTTTATGAAAGTAGATAACAAATATTGTCTCTTCTAATGTCTCACCATGTGCCAGGTTCTCAAACCTCTGGGCCAGCTCTTTCATGGAGAGTTTGGTTTCATTCTCTACCTCAAGTTTGGACAGTTCTCTGAGTATTTTACTGCCACCAAGAGCACTCAGGACTGCCTCACCTGCCTGGAAAGTAAAGCAAAGACACAGGTGCAAAAAGTAAATTCATTGTATCTAATACTGTCTGCATTATTATCTCAGTTCGTTCTGTTGAAGTAGTCTAACTGGTACAGCACACACAGACAATCATTAACACATTTACCTGCTGCATGAAGTCTAAGTGGCAATTTGCTTAAAGGGACTATATATATGCATTTTAGATTTATAGTTCTACTGCGATTTTTCACAAGATCTACTGCAAGCTGGAGTAGAACCTGCAGCATCTCGTGTACTAGTTCATGCCCAACTACGTAACATTTACAGAGGCTGCAGGCTTAAAAAAAGGATTATCATCACTAGCTGCTAACTCTGATCACAAAGTTGCAGTGTGTAAGAAAACATCTACTCAACAGTTGCTGCCATATTAATTTAAAAACTAAATGCTTAAATCTAGTGAGTTCAGAATTGAATTTGATTATTTTATAGTTATTATTTGCTTTTAGATTAAGATTTAACATTGTGATATGTCATATGTTATCATATGATTTACATTTAATATAATCAATGCTTAGATCATAAAATAATCATTAACAACACATTGTAATTAACGGCACACATGTAACAAATAGCACTAGCTGCATCTCATTCTCACAAATGTCCAATATCGCTTAACTTCACCTAAAAACTACGATTTCACTCAAATAACAAATTCAAATAATCTATTTATCCATTCATACACCAAGGACTCTGTCAGACATACTGTAAATCTGTATAAGATGATTTTTCAATTCCTTTTTTTCTTCTGTTAACTATGAAGTAATCGCCTCATAACCCTTTAGAAAGGCACAACTCCAGAACTATTAACACTGGAGACACCAGTTGTATCTTGACTGTGGCTTTTAAACCAGCTGAACACAAGTAGAACATTTTTTAAATTTGTCGCAGAGCTTTTACCATCTCCCAGAAGAAAATTGCCATCTCACTGCGGTTTTGCAATACCGCCCAGAGGAAAAGCGAAGCCCAGGGATCGGGGCAGGGCAGGTCCTGATACTTGCAATGTCCACGCAGAACCTTACTGGCACGCTTTGATGAATGAAGAAATAATACTTATTACCAGGTCAACCATGAAAAAGAGATCCTATAACCACAAGAACAGTGTGTGCATATTCTGAAAGGTTCAGAGTACCCTCAGAGCTGTCCCTTTGGATGAAGTGAACTCTAATCTCAAAGTGTGATAGTAGAAAGGCTGGCAGACATCACCCATTAACAGCTCCAGGACCCTTGACACCTGAGGAAACACGTGGGTGGGACAATAAGCACAACAGTGTCAGATGTTCTTCACATTCTTTATTGATCTATTTAAGCATAATTAATGAAAAAGGATAGAATCTCTTTGATTCCCAAACTTACCTCAAAAAGGGTGACCTCCTTCACTGGTCCATCCTGATTGTTATCTTTCAACAATCTTGTAGATGAATTCTGTTTTTCTGATGGTGAGTGACGCTCCACTATTGCCAGCCGCTCTGCTAGGCACTGTTGTAGTAGCTGATAGAGCAAGGTCCCATCTGGCACAGAGCGATAAAGGGTTTCCAGCCTGCCAAAAGTTAGGTACTCCAGGATGTTCAAGCCATTCTCAATGAAAAGCCGAACAAACTGGGGCTTGTCATTGATCAATGCATCCGTCATTGAGTCCTCCAAATCTTCATACTGTTTAATTGGAGGAAGAAGATCATATTTAAGACAGGTCAACATTTTTTATAATAATAATAATGGATTGGATTTATATAGCGCTTTTCAAGGCACCCAAAGCACTTTACAATGCCACTATTCATTCACTCTCACATTCACACACTGGTGGAGGCAAGCTACAGTTGTAGCCACAGCTGCCCTGGGGCAGACTGACAGAAGCGAGGCTGCCATATCGCGCCAACGGCCCCTCTGGCCAACACCAGTAGGCAAGTAGGGTAAAGTGTCTTGCCCAAGGACACAACGACCAGGACAGAGAGCCCAGGGATCGAACCAGCGACCTTCCGGTTACAGATGCGATTCCCAACCCCCTGAGCCACGGTCGCCCAATATTGCCAAATATTCCTCCATAAATCAGATTTGACAAATAAATCAGTGATTTATTTGTCAAAAGTGTTACAATAGACTGTATAGTGTGATGTTTTGTATGAATTCTTCTTTCAGTGTGATGTCTTTTTCCCTCCTCACCTTCCACTGGATGTCGCCATTGAAGAGTTCAGTCTTGGCAATGTCAACCCTGTTCCACGTTACTGCTAGTTTCAGCTCATCAGTATAAGGGTTGGCATCAGCTGATAAATGTTGCTTACTTGCTGAAAAACATAAAGACAACACAAAAATCAAAATAAGGACTAAAAGTGCATGTTGCTGCTATGTTGTAAAATTACAGTCTACTTACATACCTCCCACGAGTGTTTTAAGCAGGACTGTGTCAAAGTCATTTGGACTCTCGTGCTCTCCTTGGTAGACTGTAATCAAATGTCTGTTCTGGTAAATGTTCAAAGCCTGGAGACAGAAGATGGGAAAAGGGAACAGGAATGACAGAGACATGATCACAAATTATTTTTTTTTGGAAAAAGATTAAATTGCACAGCCTGTGTGTTCTGATTAGGCAGGATAAATTCCTAGTATGACAGATAAGCTAATCAACACACACTCTAATACTATCATACTCTGGATTTAGTTTAAAAACAAGCTCAAAGCTTGCCAAATCTGAGTTTCCTGTTTGAGTTTAGTGTGCACGTGAGCAGGGAAACAATATTGTCAGCTGTTCACGTACATGAAACTCAGATTTCAGTCTCAGAGTTTATTGCTAAAATCAGAGAAAGAATACTTAACTAAAGGCGGCACTTTTATTGCCTGGAGAAACAAACTAAAAACAAAACAAATGTATACTAAAGAAACCAACAAAACATGAACTAGAACTAAGAAACTCCTGGTCATTAGTGGCTTGACCTGAGGACATGGAACTACACACGACCCACAGCAACGTAGAGGTTGCGACAACAAACAGGGGAAGACTTAAATACACAGGCAGGGTAATGAGAGGCTGGAGAACAGGTAAAAACACAGGTGGGACTAACCAGACAAAACAAGACAAAGGGAAGCAAAACTGAACACACTAACACAGGACGCGACACTGTCAAAGTAAAATATGATGTATGATGTATGGCGGCCTTGACACTGAGACATGACTGATGGGATATGAAACGTGGAACACAGGGAGGACACCGTGACTGAAACTAGAAGCTAAAAGCAACAAACATAACATGAACAGAAAATAACAATAATCAAGGAGTACAAATCAAACACAAAACCAAGTGCCGTGACAGGAACAGGGTGTCGACACCTGATAAGTCAACAACGTGCCACACAGGTAATGTTGACTCATCTCAGCTAAGGCAAATTTTTACAGCTTTATTTTATTACTCACATTTTCCCCTCTGAGTGTGAAGGAAAGGTAGAACCAGAAAATTCAACTTAAAGAAACATTTAAAAAGCAAATTAATAATAATCAATGTCCTCCACCTGTCCACTTTCCTGAAATTTTATTAAGGGCACACTGCACACCATGCTAAGAAATGACTGTGACTGAGTGTCCACTATGTTTATTAGTCACTAACATTCTCCGTTTGGCCAAAGGGTGGGGAAGAGTGGCGCAGGTTTCTGGGCTTCAGTCCAAAGCAATTTCTGATGTCTTAACTAGACAAAGGATCTAATGGCTCCGGGGCAGAGGCTCACAAGAGGTCGACTGAGTATCTTAAAGTCTGCGCCCCCCCCTCTGCATAACACAGCAGACAACGCATCATTTTCCTGTTCACCCCCATCAGTTTGTTCTTCTCCTTATGTGCTATTACAAGCTGCTCTGTAGGCCCTGAAAGTCAAGGCTGACCTGGCCTTTCTATGATTTTTCTATGATTTCTGTGACTAACAATTCATGTACAGTCATCAAAACTCTACAGGTATCACAGATAAGCTTTTGATATCCCACAAGTAAAGTTTACTGAACAGAAAGTTAAATGTTGATTGATGATGGTTGATATGCTTTCAAAATAGTTAGAAGTTTTTCCTTCCAGTAAAGGAGATACAGGTGCAGTAGCCAGAGTACTGCTGGAAGAATTCATCCCACGGCTGGAAACTCCAAACTGAGACTGGCTGCTGATCAGAAATCTTCAGAGACCCAGCAGGAAGCAGGGACCAGTCCATGCACAGTTGACAACCCAGACTAGGGGTTAGGGTTAGGGATTTTGGGGTCACTTAATTAAGGGATTCTACTTGGCCTGAAACATGCTTTGAGCATCCAAAGAACTTTTACATTTAGAGCTAAATGTGATTGATTGTTTTGTTTTTCACAATGCCATCACTGATGTGGGGACAGTAAATGATCATTGTAAAGGCCTTTGGGATGCTTTAAACTGTTTTAAACAAACTGATTACCTTACAAAAGTAAAGATCACAAAGCACTGTATAGAAAGAAAATGCTGATCTATCACTCTGCTGTAAAATTTAGATCAGTAGTGTTTGATGTATGGTGGCTGTGTGGAAACACGTGGCTACGTTGGAGTTTTATCCCAGACTTTGAAAGGTACTAATAACAAAGTTAGATGTTCTGTTGTATCCATTTGTCCACAGGTTCAGTCATATCCACTGCCCCTGATGGCAAACATCTGGACATGGTAAAATAGAACGGCACAAAGGAGTGTGTGCGATGTTTGGTGATGCGTGTGCACCTTCATCCCTAGCAATACCACTGATAATGGTTCTTTTACAGAAACAGTTACTGAACTGGAAACATTGGCGGATGGATTTAATGATCAGATTTGATAAACACGCCTCACACTGAACCGCTTCCTTATCTTAAATCTTCTTTCCTTTGTATAATTACTAATAGTGAAGGTCAATATGACCTGGAGTAGCCTGCTCAACTATGTTATCTGCTGACTGTATGAGGCCAGCACCGGAGAAAGATAGTGGCAGCAACAGCGCAGGTGAGAAAAAAACAGTCGCAACTGCAGACTTTATTAACTGAAAATTGCACTACACCATCTTTGAAAATGGTCAGACTGGACTGCAAATGAGTGAAAAAGCAGCCTGAATACCCCGTTTCATGTTTCTAAAACACATTGAACACAAATGCATTCATTTATTGTAAACAGTACTTTTTAAGGCTATTAGATTTTGCTTTTGGGCTAGTGCTGATTGATCAGTTGCATTGATAAGCTTGCATATATGATTTGGTTCTATAAAAACAACTTTCACAGCTTGTGAGTGAATTAACTTTTTGTCACTGTGGTGAAACAAATAGCAGCCTGAAGTTTCAACAATTTGTAACAAATTGAGAAAGTAATTTTAGTAAATTACTACACTAAAAAATATAATGTGAATAAACTTGGAATTGTGATCCTGACACACTGACAGTAAGATCAAGCTAAACACTAAGATTTAGTTCTGAATATCAGTGCTAAAATACACAACAGTCTAGTCTGTAGTTGATAAATATGCAGAGACAGAAAGTGTTTCCTCCAGCTCATCTGCAGAGTAAATGCAGTGCATCTGTTCTCAGCACTCACCTGCTCAACTAGTTTGTCGGTCTGTGCCTCTGAAGGAAAATGCTTCTTAAACCGTTCTGCCACTCTGTCTTTGAGATCCACCTTGGGAGCTTTAAGAGCCTCACTGTTGCCTTCACCAGAGGACGGCACAGCTGGAGCTGAAGACAGGTTCTCCAAGATATCACTCAGGAAATCAGCCAAGCCTCCTGAGCCAGCCAGAACCAGCCAGGGGATGCAGCTTTTTAAAGAGAGATCCATTCTCTGACAGACATTACAAAAACCATGAAAGAAACATTCACACAATTTAAATAGTAAGTCACAATTAATGTTGTGATAATGAGCAGACTTTACCTTCAGCATGTCTGTTTCCCCTGATATCAGCATACAAAGGACAGGGATTTCAATGCTGCCACTTCCTTTAAAAAGATACAACAATTTTTAGCATCTTCCAATCTTGATCAAATGTTTTTGTTAAATTAAGCACAAATAACTCTCAATTAACTTTAGCTAAAAAAAAAAATGAGTGGAAAATATTGGGCTGACAACGTGTTATCAGTATTCAGATAAAACTTCGCTTAAGCTCCCTCATAATCCGTAATATAATATTTTACTTTAAAGTTTATGGTACCATCTCTGACCCCATATGCCTGTGCGCTGATGGGAAATGTATTCCTCCAGTCTGGCTCTGAACTCTGTTTCTCCTCCTCTGCGGCCCACACTACCATCGTCCACCAGCAGAAAGGCCTGGTAGTTGTTATCCAGGGAGCAGGAGTTCTGTGATGCGTTTGGGGCATTGTACTTTGCAGGAAAGCTCCCCTGCAGAAGCAGAAAACCGGGTATACTAGTGTTTCTTTATTTATATGTGTTTCAATAGAAGATGCAAATACAGTCTTGTCCCAAGACTATGGAAATAATAATAATAATAATAATGGATTGAATTTATATAAAATAAATAATAAATAAATAATAATAAATAAAGCATGGTAAGCATGGATTTACCTTACTTTGAGCACTAAAATCCACACAATCTTAGTCATTTAAAATTGGGACACATAAAAGGCTGTTTGTATTAATTATAAGCAACTAAAACAAAAAAACACAATTAAAAAGACAAATATAAATCAAATCTTTAAGTGAGCTTTTTGGACAATAAAGGTGAACATGATATATTTTAATGCTTTGAAAAATGTTTAAATGTGTAATGTCTGTACTACCTGAGGTTTGACCAGCTGCTCTCGCTTTTCCACGAGGCCCCACGGAGCAATGCCCAACGCTACCACCTTGTTGAGGGACACTGAAGATGCTGCAGCTGCATGATCTCTCACCGCCTGTCCAACACACCTGCCAACATCTTCATGCAGGCCTGTAGTTAGGATCCATGCACCTGGGGGAAACAGATAAATGGTAAATGGCCTGGTTCAACCTGTATACTACGTAGATTACTGTGACATGTCACTAAATGTTTCCCCATTTGTGGAAAAAGTTGGAATGCAGTGTAAAATGTAAAAGTGAAAATCACAATTGGTGCACAAAAATTAAGGCCAGGGTCCAGGGAGTAACATAGTATGCTTTATTAGACCTTATAATCCACTGCGCAATCATTACTGCTTCCATCTTGGTGTCTTGAGTGCTAGGGGAGGAAACTACTTTACTGGGAACATCAGGTAGGCACTATTTGTCTTAAGTGTATTTCATTTTATGCCCACAACATCTCCAACAACAACACCTGTCATGCCAGGTGTGTTCCAGGAGGCATAGTGTCTTCTGGCCACAAGATGGGGTCTGGCCAGAGATAAGCTGTTATTATCTCTGTTGGAAGGAGCAGTTTGTGATCAAGGTCTACCTGCACGTCCAGGGTCAAGGAGGGTTGTGCATACTCTTGCTGATAACGTCACCAGACATTCTCCTGCTCTCACAACGGAAATTATGTTTGGCAGTTCAGACATTGGATGAGTGAGTGCATTGCTGGCAGATCCAGCCTCCAGGTGTAAAGGCCTGGAGATAGGCTGGTGTAGCAGCTGATAAAGGAGATGCCTCAGAATTACCGGAGTTTGGTAGAGAGCACACATAGGACCTTCTCTTCCCTACTGATGTTTTGGTTTGTTGAATGGACATCATAGCTGGCTGTGAGTCTGCTTCCTTCCATTTCCCAGATATCCTTCCAGGTGAGCTTACTGTGTTCCAGGTTAGCCTGTTGGAATGTGAGTTTGCTTCTGTGGATCCTTTTACTTTGTATTGGTGTCGGACCTGCTCAATTACCAGCTTTCTTCTCTGGTGTATGAAGCCTTGTGCCACATTGGTCAACTTGTCCCATATCCATGTTTTGATTTTTCCTGTAGAGGTAACTGAAAACTATAGCTCTACACCGAGAAAAGATTTTGCTTGCTGCATGGCCTCTGATGGAGTCCTTTTCCTTCCAGTGGCCAGTGCGGGAGCAGATGCTCAGATTGCTGCATTTAAGCCGTACCCAGGCTCATGTTTAGCTTTGTTTTGATGCACTTGTACTTTTCAGTGAGGCTGGGTAAAATTGTGTACAATTGCTACTTTAATGCACTATCGCAATTTTATGTGACTGCATTAAGACAACTTGTATATCTTGATGCATGCTCAATTATCCAGGTAAGGAAGCGTTTTCGAAGCTCAAAATGCTACGTCCAGATGAACAGAATCTGCTTTTTGGGGCAACTTTTTTAAAATCAGTTTTAAAATCTAGAAACTAAGTTCAGGTAAGGCATGTGTTGAGAGTATTTTAGACATTTTATATGGCATAAGGAACTGTGTTGAAAATATGATGGCATCTGCTAACCAACAATAAAATATTTCAGCAAACAGCTCACAGAAATTCCAATCATACTGTTAACATCATAGATGAGTTTGTAATGCATAAAGTTTTACCTGTGCTTTGTGACGCTTTCACCAGTCCCTGTCTGAGGACCTCCCGTACCCAGGTCTTTATCTGTGTCCTGCTATTTCCACCCACAACAGAAACAACCAGGTTGGGTAGAGGAAGACGCCAATGGGTTGTCAATATGTTGTACACCACCGAAGGCTCAGTGCTCCATGACAGGCGCAGGAACTAAGTTTACAGATTTGATGAATTAAAGGAAACAAGCACATGTCAACAATGCCCAACGACTTGTACATTAATGAACTGTGATCTAGTATTAAAGCTAAAAAGATGCCTCAGTTGTTTGAACCTTTAATTTGTAATTAAAACTTAGAAAATAAAAATGACACTCGAAAGAGTGACCCAAAAGAGCCCAGAATCATTTTTACTGTCTGGCAAACTATTCGAAAGTCGATGTTTAAAAAAAAAAGGGTGTAAAGTGGCAGTGATACCTGTGTCAACATTGAGTTCTTATGGGTTTTAATCTTGTCACTTTATCTGTACTGACTTTGTTTACTCAGGTGTAGCAGTAGTAGGTTGAAGGTCAGGAAAACTACTGGCTACCAGAGCTTCGGATTTATCTTGATTTTTATTTAACCCACCTTTACGAGAATTTTCCTTTAATAACGTGCTCACATTTTCAAAAACTGTAGAGATAAAGCGTTATGGGACAAAATGAAGAAAAAAACCCACATAGCTGTGCCTCTTGCTGGCTCCTGCAAACTGCACCTCTCCAAAGGCATCAGTTGGTTGTTCAGAGGAGTGCTGCACACTTTTCCACTGGTTCACGATGGCTGTGCTGAAATAGTCTCCAACAGCCACAGAGGCATGGTCATCTCTCGCAGCCCCGCACTGACACAATGCACCATTACTGAGAGAGGTGGAAGCATAAAACGTCACCAAGAAAACTTAAAATACAGACATGTCACTATCAAAAGGCTGAGGTCACAGTACCTGAAGGAATCTTCTACAAAAGTGCTGCACACTCGTTTCTTGATGATTTTGGGGAAGCAACTCTGAAAGGATTTTTAAAATGTTGTTAAATAGTGACAAACATCTACATATTTCTTAGTTTAACATAGTTTAACAGTGAGTCTGTGTATGCACATATTCTGTAGTAGAACAACACAACCCACAAGCCAAAAAACATATTTTTCTATTAAGCTTTTGAATTAGCCTTGGTCTTTACGTCTACTGATTGCTGTCTTTAACAATCTCAATGTTTTTCTTCCCTTACTTGAACAATTATTTTTCCCAAATATATGTTGATCATAATTATTTGTAGTGCATATATTTCTTTCTGTGATAAGTAGCCTTTTTTCAGTGTTCAGGCTGCAAAAATAGCAGGTGTCAGTGTGGAGACGAGTGTGAGAAATCTTTTTAAACCTTAATACAACTATAGCACACTTGCTTTGAAAGCTTCATTGTTTCACAAAAGCTTTGCTTTACTCATCGCTAATGTGAACGCATCACCTCACCAGCTAAATGGAATGGAATGCAGCCATCATCAACGTTATTAGTAAACATGATGAAGTGCTTAACTACATGCTTATGTTTAGGATGCTGTATGTAGACTAGTAGACATAAGTGTGCTTTCCATTTTTTTCTGTTAAGTAACAGTCAGTGAACTGCTATAGAAATGTTGCACTGAACCTGTTTCTACTTATTAAAGCTTGTTTTACGGCCAGCCAGTTAGACAAGTTTTGTATCAACAAATTGCAGCTGAAATAGTAGATGTTTGTTCACCGGCACGTTTACAAAGCTTGTTGTGCATAGTTTTCCAAGAAGTTTGTGGATACGACCTGTGGACACATTCACTGTTACTTGGAACTTCATTGTGAGGATTTTTTTCAAGTATAGCTTGCACTTTAAAAAAAAAAATCTTTAAATGTAGGGTTTTTTTGTTGGTTCTTTACTTTGTCTTTTGTTTTGTTTTCTTTTGTCCGACATGCCACCATGATATCGTAACAGCAGCTGAAAGATTTTAGCGAAAGCTGACTTACCTGGCTCTTCTCAGTCTGGCAGATAATGTCTGTGTTGTTATCTCTACCGGCTTCTTCTATTCTCCCTCCTTCTACGTTTGCTCCAGTGTCATTCATGCTTCCCTTTCAGTCGAGCTCAGTGAGAAATGTGTGCAGAAGAACTAAAAGTGACTTTTTCTGACCATACTTCACCTTGTGGCTTACTGCTGAAACCCTATTCCCTGCCACTAACGTCTCTCAGTGTCCACAATAAAAGTAGGTGCAGCCAGCACTAAGGTATGGGTGTGGTTTCACAGAGGCAAACAGTTCCTCTAAACTCTGAAAACAGGAAAAGCCAGTCAAAACCACAAACTACTCAGACACAGAGTCTGAGCTGGTGTAGTGTTTATTCCAATCCTTCCTCATCACCTTACCTGGTCACTGGCATCTCACGTGAGGAAACTGAACACCCTCAATGACACATTTAGACACCACTGTAGCAAACTGACAGCTCAGCATACTTAGGTTCTCTAATTGTTATTAGAAACTAAAAATATAACACATTTGCAACAGAGACTGTTAGTTATGCGTCTCTGTGGTGCTCATTCCCACAAGAAGTAAAAGCCAGAGATTTGCCTGCAATAATCATGCAAAGGCAAATATATTTGTTTTAAAGGCCAATTTCAGTCAGAAAATTATTACTAGAATTATTATTCAGCTGAAAGTTAGCCCAATATGTGCATGGATTCCACTTGCTTAAGCATAACTTCATAAAGACGAAGTTATGCTCTTCTATAAGAGGCTCCTCTGTTCTCCACTTGTTGCCTGTATTAATGGCACCTGTTTGAACCCGTTATCAGTATAAAAGACAACTGTCCACAATCTCAAACAGTCACACTCCGAACTCCACTATGGCCAAGACTAAAGAACTGTCAAAGGACACCAGAAACAAAATTGTAGACTTGCACCAGTCAGGGAAGAAGAATCTGCAATAAGTAAGCAGCTTGGTGTGAAGAAATCAACTATGGGAGCAATTATTAGAAAATGAAAGACATACTGATAATCCCTCTTGATCTGGGGCTCCATGCAGGATCTCATCACATGGGGTCAAAATGATCACAAGAACGATGAGCAAAAAGCCCAGAACCACACAGGGGGAACTAATGAATGACCTGCAGAGAGCTGAGACCAAAGTAGCAAAGGCTACCATCAGTAACACACCACGCCACCAGGGACTCAAATCCTGCAGTGCCAGATGTGTTCCCCTGCCAGTACATGTCCAGACCCGTCTGAAGTTTGCTAGAGAGCATTTGAATGATCCATAAGAGGATTGGGAGAATGTCGTATGATCAGATGAAACCAAAATAGAACTTTTTGATAAAAACTCTACTTGTTGTTTTTGGAGGAGAAAGAATGCTGAGTGGCATCCAAAGAACACCATACCTACTGTGAAGCATGCGGGTAGAAACGTCATGCTTTGCGGCTGTTTTTCTGCAAAGGGACAAGGACGACTGATCTGTGTAAAGCAAAGAATGAATGGGGCCATGTATCGTGAGATTTTGAGTGAAAACCTCCTCACATTAGCAAGGGGGTTGAAGATGAAACATGGCTGGGTCTTTCAGCATGACAATGATCCCATACAAACTGCCCGGGTAATGAAGGAGTGGCTTGGTAAGAAGCATTTCAAGGTCCTGGAGTGGCCTAGCCAGTTTTCAGATGTTAATCCCATAGAAAATCTTTGGAGGGAGTTGAAAGTCTGTTGCCCAGCGACAGCCCCAAAACATCACTGCTCTTGAGGGGATCTGTACGGAGGAATGGGCCAAAATACCAGAAACAGTGTGTGAAAACTTACAGAAAACGTTTGACCCCTGTCATTGCCAACAAAGGGTATATAACAAAGTATTGAGATGAACTTTTGTTATTGACAAAGTACTTATTTTCCACCATAATTAGCAAATAAATTCTTTAAAAAAATCAAACAATGTGATTTTCTTTTTTCTCATTTTGTCTCTCATATTTGAGGTATACCTATGATGAAAATTACAGGTCTCTAATCTTTCTAAGTGGGAGAACTTGCACAACTAGTGGCTGACTAAACAGGTTTTTGTCCCACTATATATCGCAGGCTTTAAACCTGCAGTACTGAGGATCATTAAAACTACATATAAACACCACACACTTGATCCTATTGTATATCATATTTAAATATTGACACAATTATAAAATAAGTTTGACTAATTTGACTAAACACTACGATCTAGTGTTTATCATCACTCATCATACAAAGATCTAGAGATATTTGGTTGCCAGTAGATGGAAACTCAGGAATGGCATTATCATTATGATTTGGCAGCATTTGAGTTTAATTGGCTTTGTCCCAGTATCATTTCTGGGCCACGTTCACATATAGCTACTCATTTATTATAAAACTTTAAAAGGAAAGCATATCACAGCTGAATTTGTGTGACCGGTGGAACATCCTGAATCATAAACAGTAACACTCATTTAGTGTGGTAACAGCACCACCCGGTGGCAAACCTGTAAATAAAACCAGTGAAATTTGGTAGAGGATGAAACGTTTTGAATTTGAGTGATTAAAACCAGACATTAAAAAAAAACATTTATGGCACATTATGTCCAAACAAGTGCGTTAAAACACAAGTACATTGTATTAAAGAATGTTGTGATTTTGCAACGGCAAAACACCGCCCATTAACTGTTGCACAACCCCTGACACCTGAGGAAACAGTGGGTGGGACAATAAGCACAAGGCTACTGGTTTTTCTTCACATTCTCTCTGGATAAGCAAAACTTATGAGAAAGGACATCAGCGCATCAGTCATTGAGTCCTCCAAATTTTCATACTGTTTGATTGGAGGAAGAAGGTCAGGTTTTAGGATAGGTTAATACTTTAATCAAAACATTCTGTAAATCAGAGTTAAACAATTTTATCTATCAAAAGTGGTTCAATAGACTGCACGTCATTCATTTAATTCACAGTATTTCTTTCAGCGTAACATCTGTGTAACATCATTTTCCCTCCTCACCCTCCAATGGATGTCTCCATTGAAGAGTTCACTCTTGGCAATGTCAACCCTGTTCCACGTTACTGCTAACTTCAGCTGATGCACGCTGCTTACTTGCTGAAAAACACAAACGCGACACCAAAATCAAAATTAGGATAAAAAGTGCATGTTGTAAGATTACAGTCTACTTATATGTACCTCCCACGAGTGTTTTAAAAAGCAGGACTGTAATGGCAGAAATAAAGAGATTTACAGAAAAATTGTGCTTTAATGTTCCCACTGTAAGCATTTGTGATCTGATTAAATATCAGCCTTCACTGACAGATGATATCTTCCTGACAGCCACATTAGACAACGTTTTATCAGGGTCTTACTACCTTATTGTTAGTACATGTTGGGACAAAATAAACTGCCTGGAGCTGAGCTGAACCCAGGCCTGATCTGGTTTGAATCCATGATCCTCGTGTTTTGTATCTGTCCTGTCATGCAAGTGGACTCTAAAATAATTTGCTGATATGTTACAGAGATGCCTTCTGGGTCGTCCCACTGAAACTGATTTAGAGGATTTTCAGTGGAAAATATGTTGTGTTTTAGACAAAATTTTCGACACTGTGCTTTTCAAAACATACTTCAATGTCATGTAATGACTGAATGTCAGTCTGTGAACAAATTTTAACGTGCATTGTAGTCAAAACAAAGACTGTCTGCAGCTGCACAAAAAAATAAAGTTCTGTAAAAATCAGTTTAGCCTTGATTCACTCAGATAATCAGAAAATCTCAAAGATCTGGGTTTTTCCTCATGTGTGAATGATTACAACATCATAAATGATTATGTGTCTAAAGCTTCATTTAAACAGTGATTCCTAAAATACCATACGGTAAAAGTTTCAGAGGAACTACCTGACAGTCTGACAACTAATTAATGACCACAGTTAGAAAGATCAAGTCTACAGTTCTATAGTCTACTATTTCTGACTTGATTACCATCTCCATCCTTATATATTGTAAGTTTACTCAATTTACAAAATTTGCTCATCTTTTCACTTTGTTATGAATGAGGAATTGATTCAGAGCGTCAGCCACCTGTTTCCCCATGTGCATGTATTATCTCAGTCAGCACACACCGGGTGAACTAGTTCGTCAGTCTGTGGTTTAGAAGGAAAATGCTTCTTAAAATGTTCCTCTACTTTGTCTTTAAGATCCATGCTGGGCCCTTCTTCACCGTCGCCCTCCCCAGGAGACTGCACAGGTGGAGCTGGAGACAGGTTGTCCAAGACATCACTCGGGAAATCAGCCAAGCCTCCTGAACCAGCCAGCAGCAGCCATGGAAAAGGCAGTGTTTTGTTTTTAATACATTTGCAAGAATTTCAAGCAAACTTTTTTCACTTTGTAATTATAAAGTATGTAATTAGGATGCGTAGAATTGTGAGATGAAAAATTAATTGAATCCATTTTGGAACAAGGCTGTAACTTGTGAATACTTTCCAGCTGAACTGTAGGTTTCTGTGCATGTGTCTGCATGTTTAAGTGTGTCTGTGAATGGCTGATTTCATGGTGGCTGCAATGAAGAAAAGCAAGTATATCAGCATTCTAAGAACTGGAGTGTGTCCTGTTGCAACGCAATGTTTCCTGCTCCAAAAAACAGGCATCCGGATTGTGTAGACATTAATAAATAATGCTGGCAATAATTCAGTCCAACCCAACAGCCTCAGGTCAGTGGCTCAGGGTTTTACTGACCCAAATATACTTTTAATGATTTGTGAAAAACAAAAGCTTGTTTTATTAAAACTGTTAGTGCAATGTAATTAGTGTATTTTATTCATGCTTATGAATGTTACTAAAGCAATTTGTGACAACAATCTGAGCTCAGTCTTGGATACAGCTCCACCTTTTTATCTATACACATGTGGGCAATGGAAGACTCTGGTTCTAAGTTAAACTATTTAAATGGTGACAACAGAGTTACGGACCAAACAAAACATTAAAGCAAAAGAAATGCTTGGAGAATTTTTATAACTGTTATTCGCTTTACACAATTAATTATTACAACCCTATTTCATGCATCAATTTATTCTAGCTGGAATACTGTAAAAGCAAATAAATCAATCCTTGAAGATTGTTGAACTACAGTTATTATTTTGTACTTATCATCAAAATGAATCGTTATACTGTATGAAAGTTATTTGAAAAGAATAAAAATGCAGACATCCAAATACATTTGTATGTACATTTGCATACAAATATTGGGCACTTTTAATGTAACTGAAAAAGTATTAATGTGTTCCTACTGTAACTGGTTATAGACGCTATCACATCATATCAAATAAAATGTAAAACATTGCATGTCTTTAAAACATGTTTTACAGCATTAATTGTATCAAGTCGCACGCACGCACACACGCACAGACATAAAGTGTCTTGCATTGGCTGGATAAAATGTTTTCTCTTTTCAGTGCAGTGTTTATATGCTTTGGGAAACCAAGTCCAGTGAGAATCAAGGTGGTGGGCTGGATAGAAGTTCTCAAGAGAGAGTGTTCTCCAATTGTTTTTTTTCCTGAACTTGAGCAAAGTGAAGGTGTCCTCTTTGATTTAAGGTATCCTTAAATTAAGCTGAGCTGGAAGAGGAGGCAAATGCATCTGTAGAGAGGAACAGGTAGAGTAAGATGAGTGAGAGGGACAAATTTTAGCAAAAAGAAAAAAGCAAACTTTTTTTTAGAAAGCAGTACATTACGAATTGACTTTTAGACAGTGCGTTACTACTCAAAGTACAGCACACCTCATTCATCCATTCACACAGGCACTTTTTTTCTATACCTTGGTGCTTTCTATCTCATATTAATACACAATGCTAACACATTGGACAGCAAGTCAGGATTTAGTATCTTGCTGAAGAATAGCTGGGGGGGGGGGGCTTTCTAATGTTTTGGGTCTATAACATTTTTCTATCATTACTTTATTATGGATTAGGTGCAAAAATTGTTAAGTGTGGATAATTAAGCAATAGATCGATGCAATAGCAAATTGTGCCTGAACAGCAAGTGGAGAGTAATAGATGAGATGAAGAAATGGAAGGAAGCAGAGAGTCAAAGAGTGATTCACGAACACAAACAGAGCCGAGTTTATTCCTCAGTTTTGTTGCCTTTTGGTTCTAAGCGCTGTAACCAATCTCGGCATTTTATTATTATCTCATAACACTTGTTTAATCCGCTACCATCTCTGCTATGGACTTCACAGTCTACAGTCTCAGATCAACACAGCCCTGCCCTCCAGCACTATCAGCAGCAACCCCTCAACAGCAACACTGTACCCATCAGGTAAAACAGACTACGATTGCTCTCTATTGTCCCCACCTGATGACAGTGATATAGTATGATGCGATTCCATTTTAGATTCTTGATGAATGTGGGTTCTTGTTCTTCAGCCTGCTTCTATATGCCCCTTTTTAACTTTGAGCACCCACCCCTTTAAACATCTCTGCACGGCCCTGGATCGGACTACCAGTCTTGTGGTTAGCAGATTACCTGCTCTACCACTTGAGCTACAGCCACTTAGTAGTCAAGCAAGCTATGTAAATGAAGAGTGGCTTTTCAACATGCAGGCTGTTATGCAAGCATGATTTCATAACTGCTAGTAAATACCTCGTAATGGTGGAGGTCGAGGAGGTTTAAATGTGCTTCCTTGTGATAAAGTATCCACAACCCAGCTGAGTGCACTGGAGCAGTACTCCATCTGAGAAGAAAAAGCAGAAGATCATGAAACTATATGTTAGAAAAGATTCATTCTTAAACCTCAATGAAAAGCACCTGAAAAAAAAAAAGGAGGACTTTTTTTCTTTATAGATGTGTTCAGGTTGTCTGTTCACTCCATGTCTTAACTTTGTGTCTATAAAAATTCTAAAGACAGATTATTTACTGTTAATTAAATATTATGCAGTAAGACACTTAAAGCAATACTTTAACACTTTTACTACATAGAGAGTAAGATTACTTTTTAAGGTGGACGTTACTTTATTGCCCTCCATAGGACAAAATATTTTTAAAACAGGAAACTTCTTAATCAAAGACAGACCATTTAAAAAAAAAAAAAAAAAAAACGTCTGACTTTGATACCACTCATATCCACCCGTTAAACATTTGTCCAGCCCAGCTTATCACATCTTCCTGAGAACCACCCTATTCATTTATGTCCTCTCTAATAGGCATTTGTTTTTGGTCTATAGCTTTTGGCTTATTTGAGCTACAGTATTAAGTCTTGATGTACTAAATAGAGAACGTCCTGGGCTTCCCATTGATATCTCATGTGTTTGTGTGGTATCTTTTAGCTTCAAAGAGGTAAGAAATCACAAAAAAGTTCAATGGTAAGATTCTTTTTTCTTCAGTTGTCAGGAAGATATAAAGACTGGAAGCAAATTAAATACAGTTAGCCTAGCTCCATCTAGTGACTAAAAAAGAAATCTCATTTTAAAAAGACCACAGTGATGTAAGTCAATTCATGAATTGTTGGCTCTGACGTATCCTAATCTTAAGCTATGCTTAAAAACATTCTGACTGACACAACAGCTTTTTCCCCATAATCAGTACTTCTTGCTTTTCTCCAAAACATAAAATTTCTTACTACAGAGGTGCTTAAGATCAGCCACACTAAATCCAAATAAAACTGTCTTTGTACTAAATAGTAGGTGTTTTCCCTATATTCTACCATCCTGTTATTATACCAGTCAAAACAAGTCTGCAATTCAATGCTTTAACCTTTATCTAGAATACTGAACTGGCTGAACCAATGTGCTCTTTCACAGCAGCTCCACATATGTATCACGAATGACTCAAATGGTACAAAATGATAAGTTGGAGCTTCGGTTTTACCTGATTCTCCAGAGACCGTAGCCTGTGTTCGAAGTCTCTGCTTTCACTCAGATGTTTAAGCACACCATCTACCCTATATAAACAAAGATACATTTACTTCAGTATGATGGAGTCACACAGTAATAAATAATGCTGCTACAGTGGAGGATGAAGGTGTGCTCACTTGGCAGACATCCGTTTGAGCCTTTCTGAGTCGCTGCTTTTCTGGATCTTGTTTCGAGCAGTCAGGAAGTCTTCCTTCTGAATCGTTTCCCACGTTGATAATCGGTTCGCTGCCTTTGCTTCCAAGTCTAACACTGATAGTACAGACCAAGGGTTGAAATGATTACCTTTCAACTCACTTTTCATGCTTTCATCACTGCTGAACTGAGGTCAGTGAGCAAGAAAATTATTTAGATGCTTCCATTTTAAGTAAGCAACTAAAATAAAAACAATTAATTAAAAAAAAAAATACAGTCACTGATTAAAAAACTCAAAGATAATAGAACTATGGAACTGAGGCTTCCTGATTCAGCATGTGTAATGGACAATAACTTTAATACATTAGCAGTATTAATTATTTTATTATATTAATAAAATCCACGACTTCTGATCCAATACTGACCAAAGTGGTGGATCTTTACAGAGGGCACTTTGCGGATGACCCTCTTAATAAAGAGGTTGATGTGTGAGAGGATAATGAAAGGCGGAGCCAAAGAAGGACGGGAGTGGTACTCGACAATCAGGTTGTAACGCTGGAACTTCCAGTAGGTGTCACTGTGTTCCTGCACTTTAGAGAAAGTGTAGCTGTGTGGATACAAGCAGATCAGAGCCACTGAGTCAAACCATTCAGTATGTGAACGCACCTTCAGATATAATAAAAGACTTGTTCTTTACCTAAACATGGCAATAAGCAGGTTGATGAGCAGGATGTTGGTGACCAGGAGATATACGACTAGCAGAATCACTACCAGCCAGTTACTCTCATGAGTTCTACACGGCTCTTCACCGCTCTCAATCAAAGTCACATTGTGTGTACAGTTGATATCCCAGTCCTTGCCCACTGCAACAAAACAGACATAAAGGAGAAAGTTAAGAAAGTTTTACAGTAGCATTCAATTTTCTTATTTTTATGCCACTTGCACAAACACATGTACCATCCATCTCTTCCACAGGGATCTGTCCAAAGATGTGCAAGTATGGCCTGTAGAAAACTCTCCGAAAAATGCGATTCAGGTTTGGATCGTAGGAATAGATCAGAGCCTGATTGGCAACTCCATAAGCCATGAGCCACACACCCAGGAAGAAGAGGAAGAAGAAGACATCCTTCATCTGAACAAGAGGAGGAAATTGTCATTTTGTTTCTGACATTATATTATTAAAAGTCTATAATTGGTATATTGCCAACTGATGGTAACTTTCTCACCATCTTTCCTACAATGATGATTTTTGGTCCCAGCTGCTTGTGAATGGCAAAAATGTGAATGAGGCGAAGGGTGAAGACCATGTAGTCCAAACACAGGACATCCCGTCCAAATTCATATGACCAGTGGAACATCCTGAAATACAAGCACAGTAAAGCTGAATCAGTGTGAAAGCAGCACCACCTGGTGGCAAAGCTGCAAATTAACTAAAGACCCGGAAATGAAAATTATTTTATAGAACACTTAAGACATCCAAATATGAACCAAGGACAATGTTTTTACAAATGTTACAATCTGCAATGACAAAGCCTCATTCAAAAATATTACTGTAGAAAAAAAATAAATTTGAATTGATCATTTCTATTATTTTTTTATTTCTTGTCCATACCTGCAGATTAGTCCTATAATGAACAGGCTGATGGCAGTGAGGTCACATTTATTCCACAGATCCTTAATGTAGAGTCTGAACCTTTGACGCCAAGTCATCGTCCCCAAAAAAATGGTCTTGATGAAGAAGACAAATGACTTTACAGATCCATAAAAAACAACAAATAAAACTCAACTATACCTAGGTGACATGTATCCAAATACAGATGAGCACTTTCCATTTACTGTCACTATGTAAAGTGAGTAAAATCTGACAGGATAAGATTTTAATTTGTGATATTTTTTTTTTAGTGTTTGTTTAATCACATAAAATCAGTGACGAATAAAAAAAAAAAAATTTGCTTATTTATTTTAATGTCAATCTTGAATCTAAGGCTTTTGACACAGGAGCATGTAACCACTGTGTCGCAATGGCACTTTGGGGATAGTTCATTATATATTATATTTGGGGATAGTTATTACATTCATAAATAAAAATAATAAAGTTCTAAGTAAGATGTCTCTCTTCACTCACCTGTCGGATCTCCTCACAAACGATGGTGAATACCCAGAAGTACAACACACACTCAGCAGCACCTGGGCCTGAGGGTGGTGGGGGCTCAAAATCCACCAACAGCACGTAGGCAAAAAGCAAGAGAAACAGGAAGTACATCAGGACGTTGCCCAAAAAGGAGGTGACCGGTGCAAACCAGAACTGACGCCAGCGTGACACTATGAATGGACGCTGTGGTGGTTGGTAAGGTACACCTGTATCAAGGATTATAAATACAGATTAACAGGTGACTAAAATGACAGCATGTGGAGACAAGAATCAGATGACTCTTTAAACAGGACTCACCTTTAATGGCATCACTCTTGTGAACGTCTGAGTCAACTTCACTGGTGTAAGAAAACATTTTTAATTCATTAGTAGACCTAAGACATAAAAAACAAACTGATGTTCTATGGACGAACACTGAAGAGTGCAAGTAGAAATATTACTGCTGTTTGATGTCAGAGAAAGAGAAGACGGTGGTCCCATAAAGGTTGTCAGAGTCCTGAGCCACTGCATCCTCATTGGGAATTTCCTCCTCCTCCAGCTGATTGTCTTGTGTCCTTTGAGGTGGAATATATAGAAAATTTTTACACACACACACACACACACACACACACACACACACACACACACACACACACACATATGGAAGAGGACCAGAGTCAGGCTGTAATTTGGACATGGGACTGTGATAAGATCACCGGATTTTCTCTTTATGTTGGTAGACAGATGCCGACTGCTAATGTTGTTTCGTCTTTTGTTTTTTTGTGAGAATAATAGTCATTTAAAGAATGCTCATTTACAATGAGTGGTGATTTAGATTATAAATCATATGACTTTGAAGCCAATATTGATCTAGAAGGGAATGTGCTTAACACAATTAATGAGACATGTGAATATTATATGGAGGACCAATTTAGAGATAACGTTGATATAAGTAATATATTTTCTTTAATTGCTTTTAATGGCTGTGGCTACAA